TTAGTGAAACCTTACGAACTCGTTCTCTACTCTGTTTATCTGTTCAAACATTTATTTAGTTAATTTTTATACATCACCCAATTCACCCACTCTTGGGTGATGCTGCCACTAACAAAAGTAGCATAAAGAAGGTAGGCTGCCAAGCTCCTTTGAGTAGAAGTTCCAAAGATGTGAAAGAAAGCTAGAACGGGAATATGGACTAAATTGCAAAGTGATAAAGTTTCTAGGAGCAAAAGTATAACTAAAGTCAAGGGCTCTAGGAGAGTCTTAAGGGCTTAGAAAGGAAAATAGCTTAGGTGTAGACCTAAGGTTAAGGTGCAGGATTCAAAATGATGATTCATGAGGTTGAGCCCAAGCAAGGGCAAAACCATAATTTCAGAAAGTTATGGGCTTATATGGATAATTATGAAAAGTATACAGAAAATTTTAGAAAAATTTCAAAAAATGGGAAATGGTGTATAGAGGCATTTTGATAAAGACAAATGATGAAAATGCCCCTATATAGCTTTAATGGAATTTTCAGTATAGTGGCTCAATTTTGAGGTAATTATCTAGATGCAATTATTTGAGTTATGAGGAGGCCTGAAAAATATACATAAAAATGGGAAACAAATAGTTAAGAGGCTAAAGAAGTTTATAAAATTAATCCCATCCCCAGAAGGCCAGTAGAGTGGCTTTAATAAAATATAAAGCCAGTTGTGCATCTAAGAGGCATTTACAGGAAATTCAAAAAGAAATAGTTAAAGAAAGATTTATGACCCAAGAAAATTCATAGACAAATGAATTTTTTGTGCTCTAGAAGGCCATTAAGAAAGTCAAATAAATGTAAGCTAAGTAAATTAGAAAGAAACTTGGAGTTCAGGTTTGATCCAAGGGTCAAGATCTAATCTTCTCCTTTCTTTCCATGAGATTTTGCCACATGGCATGGTGAGGCAAGAAAGAAGTTTGATGATGTAAAGGGTATAATGTCATGAGGACACTTGGCAAGGTCTTGTGGAAGAAGACTTGAAGCTTGGACAAGTGACCTTTGGAATTGTCATATTTTATCAAGGGCAAAGTAGGCAACCCTTGTCATAATTGTGGCTATAGATACCCCCTATGGAAGAACATTTTGGCAAGCACTTATAGAGTGGAAACTCTACAAAAAAAATTAGAGAGAAAAATGAAAAGAAAAACATGGGGGTAAAGGCCAAGAAGAAGGAACAAGATTCAAGCTTCAATATCAAGGTATGTGATGATTCCAGCACCTATCTTGATGCCTATTTTGATTAAGTTCCTGTTCATATTTGACGTTGGAATTTGGTGTGATTAAAGTACACTCCCTAAGATTTAAATCCATAGGTAGAACACTTCATTTGGATATATGTACAAATTATGGTGATTTTTCAAAGTTAGGGTCTAAAATCTAGAAACAGTTTTTGACTATTAGAATAGTAGAAACTTCAATATTTGATCCTGTTTCACACTAAATTGGTTCCTAAAACTATTTTTCCTTTAAAGAGCACTTGAGGAGCTTTTAGTAGGACTTAGAACTACTCAATTTTGACTTTTTTGAAATTAATTACGAATTTTTAAATTTGAGCAAAAATTCTGAAAATACCGAATGAATAGTACCTGCGAAGTAAAATTTCAGATTTGATCTTCTGAATCTAAAGTCATCCAAAGTGGTGCTATTGACTGAAATGTTTAAGTATGGGAAATGATGATATTTATGCTAGAAATATGGCTAAAGGATAGAAAGGAGAAACCAAGTGGTATTGCATGATAGTTTGATGATTTCATGAATAGGAGACCCCAAGAGGTGCCTCAGTCTTGACTGGTTCTTGTACCTAGGATGTGATTTTCTTGATGTTGACCAAAGGCCTTCATAGTTGGGAAGTCAAGGGAGTCAAAGGAAAAGCAAGAGGAAAGCTTATGGTACAAGGTAGTGAACTTACCTATCTTATATGCTTGATGTTTATGCTTGTGTTGATTTGCATGATGCTAATTGTGATCATATGAGCTATGTATGAATGATGTATGTTTTATCTCTTGATGATTTTATGGCCATGCATGTAGTAGGAGACATTGAGCATGAGATTAGATCACTAAATTGGTATAAATATATCAAGGAAGCATATCATAGACTTGCATTCATCTTATATATTGATGGTATTGTTTGCTACTGAGATTTTTTCAAATCTCACCCCTTCCTTAACCAACCATAGTAGGTCAAATGATGAGGAGAAATCATGCATGAAGAAGGGCAAGAAGATGGAAGCAAAGAAAGTGGAGAATTTCTATGTGTTACAATGTGATGCTTTAATTCACTAGTAATGTAATTATTTTGTAAACATGCCTAACATGAAATGTGATCATGTATGATGTTAATGACATGTAATTTAAAGTATAAGAACAAATGGAAAACCCTAAGGCCAATTTATGCATGCTTGAATTAAGGAAGAATTAAAAGTAAGAGGCTAATGAAAGATAAAACATAGGTCCTGAAGTGGTAAGGTTCCGGCTCCAGTTTGACCTAGGAAATGGTTGAATCTAATCACAAAATTTGGTGATCATATAGTAAACATCCCAAGCTTCAAAAGCATGGGTAGTTTGCCTTATTTAGATGTGTACATTAGGATATTTGAATTTTAGAAATTGAGGCAGAAAATCTGGAAGTTCAAGAAGTGACCAAATGAACAGTAAAGTTCAACGAATAAACTGTATGAATTAGTTAATGATAAGTCCAGTTTCATATTTTTTCCTAGTAGGGCATTAAAAGTGCTTAGATTAGAAATTTGGAACAACCCCATATGATTTTTATAGAATTAATTATGAATTTCTAAAATTAGACCTGTAATTTAGAATTTCTGCATAAACAGTACCCGAGGACCATAATGAAAAGTTCTAAAGTTTTCGAGCTAAAGTAACGATTCTGCATGCTATAAGGAGTAAAAGTAAGGATGTTTCACTCCTCATATTTTAAATAATTGATTTTGACAAAATAAGTCAAAATTCTCATAATTGGCCAAATTTCTAAAAATCCATTCCAATGGCATTTTCATAATTTTTAACCTTAAATGGGCCTTAACACCTCATTTCCTATTTTTAGGATTTTTTTAATGAAATTTTCAGGTGTAATTTCCAAAAATGCCCTTCGTTAACCAGAACTTTTCAAAATAATAGTTCGATCCTCTACCTGGGTTTCACTTCAAAAGTTGTTTCGTCTCTGCCTCTTATTTTATTTGAGCCTTAATCAATTGTAAATTCCTCATACTCAGCTCTCAAGACTTTATCAAAGTCTCTATCTTTTTCATTTCTCAGTCTTAGAATACTTTTGCTTTATAATTTGGCCTCTGAGAATCCTTATATCCTTTTAGGGCATTTCTGGGACTCTTGTCAAAAAGAGTCTTGGTAGCTTTCCCATTTTAGGTTATTTTTTTGCAGTTATAAGCCTAAAATTTAGAATGTTACAGAAGACACATCTTCACTACAGTGAATGTGCATTTATTAGCATGCATATTTTCATATTTAGATGCGAATTTAGAGCTTACCCACCCCCAACCCGACCTAGAACCATCTCTTCTCATTTGGGTTATTAGGTTTCAACCTAATATTATTCTCTAATCCTTCTTTCACCTCCAGATCACATTTTTTCTTATCTCTTCCATCCCTATTCTTTTCTCACTTCTGTACCATTTCTCTTCATCTTTTCCACCTTCAATCACCATGGCCAAAGTGCTAGGACATCCATAATGATTATTCCTCCCTCTCATGTGTGGCTACTCTTTGAGGATGGGTTAGGCGTACAAGAGCAATGAGACATCATCAAGGGAGTTCTTTATTAGTTGTCCTTGTGTATTTAGATTTCTTATATATCGACTTTTATTACTTAGTTTCTAGAAGTTCAATTTCTATTTATGGCTGACATCCAGTTATGTAAATGTTAAATTCTATGCTTTTTATTATGTGTTTTAGGCTGAGTAACTGGGTTTTGATTAATTATTTACATAGGTTAGTTGTCAACTCATTGGTGAGAAGATCTTCCATCAATTAGAGTTGGCTTTAGGAGCTAGTTATGAGGACTAAGTTTAATTGTACCTAACCCCCTAACGATTGAACTATTGTTTAGCACCTATCCCCTTCTTTAAGGGAGCATCCATTTCATATTGTATTTTAAACCACTTTCTTTTTCCCTAAAATCCAAAAAATATTTTCCTTACATTGCATAATTTTGTTTTCAAAATGAATTTTAACTTTTTGGCAAAAAAAAAAAATGAATTTTAACTTTAATGAACCTTTACTTGCACATAGTTAATTAGGGCATTTAATAAAAAGATTCTTTGATAATGACGCAATCCTTAGTTTTATAAATTATGTTGATTTTAACCTGCACAAGGAAAAAGGTTAAACCAAACATTATATTTTAAAATATTTGAAACCTTTTTTTGCAACATATATGCACAAATACACGAGCAAGGCAAAGGGAAAGAGAGGCATCACCAAAAGTATGGCATACCTTAATATATGAAACTATTATAGCATCCAAAGAGATTGAGATTGCTTAGGGGTGTTTGGATGAAAATCAAACCATGATTTTAGAAGTAATTTTATGAAGTTTGAGGAAAGTATGTGAGAAGAGTTTTTGAGAAAAAATTTCTATATTTGAATTATGTGTCAAATGTACAAATATCCTACCCTATTCATCTGGAAATCTTAATTCAAAGCCTTCAATACTGGGTGAAAGATGCCTCCTCCTTTCATTTATTAAGACTCTTTCTTTGTAAGTATTATAATTGAAATTGGAATAGTCTTATTACTCCAACAAAAAAAAAAAAGATTGTGAAAACACTTTTTTAAAGTGCTTTCGGGCGAAGGACAAAACAGCGCTCCCCGCCGTTGCGCGAAGACAAAGCAAACAAAACCCCTGTTCTGTACTTTATGCTGTAAATAGCCATGTTTTGCAGCTTCCAACTTGAACTTGGCGCGAGAATGCTTATGGGAATTGAATGCAATTGAATTTGTATTAGAAATGTCGAGGCTTCTCACAAGGATTGCTGGGTTTTTCAGCAATCGAACTCAAGTTGGAGTTGACAAAGCGGGGAACAAATACTTTACTAGAAAAGAAGAGATCGATGGTGTAAGTAAGTGGGTTTCTATCCTTTCTCTCGTGCCATCAATATTTTTTCTCTGGCTATCGCTATTATTGTGAATATGTAGTGATGCACTCGCACTTGCGAATTGTACTTCCTAAAACTTATGTACTCTTGTTTACTTGAGAGCACGATTTTATTTACTTATTTTCGAATTTTCAGATTGAGTTCAGATATGTACCCGGTATAAAAGCCATCAGTTCTCAAGAAATGCATGCTATTAACTTGGACTCATGAAAGCTAAAATCCTAACTTGGGTCTCTTCTATAATTCACTGGGGTCATTTGTTTTGCTATACTTAAGATGTAATAGCATAAGTGGCATCCCTTGTATGTCTCCAACTGCTGGAGCTTGCAATTTTCACAGCTTCAACTGACGTTTTATATTACAAGGTCGCTCCTTTGGCATTTGTTTGAACTTTCAAAGAGGAGATATTTACGAAATCTTTAAAGAGGGGAATATTCATAAAAAAAAATCTCAAAATTTGCACATTTGTCTCTGGTTTGGACAACTGACCATAAATTATTTAACTCTTGTATGAAGCTTTTATTTATGATGTTGGAATTTTAAAATCCTTGTCCTCTGCGAATTGTGTTGTCTTTAATAATTTAATTTGCATTATAAATGAAGTATATTTTACAGAAAATCTGTCTCATTCTTTGTTTCCCCCTTTTCCTTGGCTTGGTTTACTAGTGAAAGAGAAAAGATGGGTGATTTTTAAGGGAGAGGCGGATTCTACTACACTTCCAGGTAAATCTCTTAAAGGTGCTATCATTCAACTGTATAGTTACTGGATTCACTGTATGATTAAATATGTATGTTATAAGACACTAGAATAGGTTAAACAATAATTTTTTTTAGCACCCGATTGTTATTTCTATTCTGATGAATGGTTACTGCTTAATTGTTATAGTTGAATGGATATGTTGGTTGAATGGGCAGCGTAAACAGGCTCCAATACCGGAGGTAAATTCAAACGAATTTGTTCCTCTACAATTTTTATTCTGTTTCTCTTCCAGCACTGTAACGTGTTCTGCATAAAGTGCTGTTGATGTTTCTTTAACGTCTAATTTTATGATTTTTCTAATTGACACTATTGTATGCAAGTAATTATGAAATAAATTCAGACTTGGATTATCTAAAATTAGAACCTTGTAAAGTGCCTCAAATCAAGGAAGAGATAGAGAGATCAGAGGAGTTTGATGGAGAAAGAAAAGGAAGTGTTATTGCATATATTAGCACTAATAATTAATCAAGCACTTCATTTTCATTGGATCCAATTTCATTAAATTGGTATGTGATTCCTATGATGCTAGGAGCTCTTAATGTTCTTCCGAAGTAAGAGTAGAGAGAAAAGAGAAAGTGGGTGGAACTAGAGGAAGTGGATCCTATATAAACATCAACTTATGTGACTTTTTCATGTACCTTGGCTAGAGGCAGTTCAACTTAAAAGAATCCTAATTTATCTAATAAGATTTGGATTATCTAAAATTGGAAGCTTCAATTTTTTATTTGGTTTCAAATAAAAGAGAGAGCTAGAAAGAAAAGAGGGGTGGATGTGAAAAGAGGAAATGAGCCCTTGACACTCTTCCTTGTGTGTCCCTTTTACTTAAGAGGCATTTCAACTTGGGATGTTTTATTGAATTCTGATTTTAATCTTTGACATAAGATCATAAATTGCCTATGAGGTAAAAGAAGAATAGAAAGTAAGGAAAGAGGGAGTGGGTTTAAAGGAAGTGAAGCCCATATACACTTTCATTTGTTGTGCCACTTCACTAATCCCTAGAAAGATGTGTTTATTGTTATAATCAGAGTGATTATCGAGAAAGAAACAATATTTCTGTAAGAGGCCTCTTGATTCATTGAACCGTAATCTATCTGTATAAAAATACATGTGGAATAATTTGGGCAAAAGCTATTACTCTAGTTGAATACAAATTATTCTAAGTGAATCTAAATTAATCAATTGATTATAAGATTTAGATATTCTTCTTTGAAGAAGTAAGGCATAACTTTTTTTCCCATTTTTTCCAATCCTCTAGGTTGGTCTTTCTTTCTTGTTGGATGGGTTGTTTTGTTGGACTATGTGATTAACTGTACAATTTTGACTACCTCTTTGACTTTAGACTTTAGAACTATAACTTTGAGATTAGCTCTTGTTGAAGTATCTTGTTATCTAAGAAGCGAAGATTTTATAAAAGCTCAATAATTTTGCTATTGCTTGAAAATGTTTCTTTTTATTCCTCCCAGGAAATAGCGGAGTTGGAAGCAAGGCGTGAACGTGTTAGACAAAATGTTGCCTGTATGTGGCATACTTCTCTTAACTAATATTTATAGTTGTTATTTTTTTGCTCCCAATGCTTTGCAGCTTTAATGCTGTCAGTTTTGTGCATAATAATTCTATTGCAATGAAATTGATTAATACATATTAATGATATGGCTATATATTTGATATATAATTGTAATGAAAAGTAAGAGAGTTGGTTAGAGTCTATTAATGGATCCCTAGGCCTATGAATAGGAGGGGTTGGGTAGACCATAAGTAGGTTATGAGAATGATAACAAGTTGGGTGGAATAGAATTTCTCTCCTAGTTCTGTTGTCTTGCTCTTTGTTCTATCTTTCTCTTTTTCTCCTTTCTCCCTCATTCCCAACATATATTCTATATCACTTAGATCTAGAGCCAAGCTATGCTCAGTATCATGGACATGAAGCAACTTCAAAGATACTTCTGCAGAGTTATGAGTAATATTCTATTGTTCATGGAAAAAAGATTTGGCAGAGTTCTGAGAAATGTTCTACAAGGAAGAAACTTATCTTAAGATGTGGAAGTCATTTATGCCAATCAAGAAGGTGCGGTTCCTCTGCCATCAATTCCAAAGTAGTGCAACAAAGTGCACAATGTAACAACCATTCAAGAAAAAGAGGGGTTGCCCTTACCATCAAAGCGTGACATGCACCTAATAATGAAAGAAGATTCTATTAGCTCTCCCAAAAGAAGAAGAAGCTAAAGGAGCTTCTATCACTCAAGAAAAATGAAACAAAGCCCTTTCATTCTTTTCTATGCTACTTGAAGAGGGCAACCCTTACAATTTCATATCCTCAGCTCCGCCAGGTTGTGGGCTTTTGTGACGGAACTCAAAGGTTTGTAAGAGGGTTGATGCTATCTTTCGTGATGTGTTCTTTGTCAACTTTTGTTTCTCTTTGCCTTCCGCTAACTATTTATGTTTCTTCATCACCACTACTCTCTATGCTGGTCAAAGGCTCAAAGCAAAGGGGTATTTGAAATTAGAATTGTGGCTTAAATATGGTAGTAGGAGTGGTAATATGGGCAAACCTATGGGTTGAGCCTATGTGTGCAGGCCAAAAAGGCTCTTTTGCAAGTGGGTTGGCTTTTAGCCAATCTTAACCCACCAACAATTATTTATTTATTTTTAAATTTTTTTATTTTTTAAATTTTTTTCTTATGCAAAATACAATAAAATATAATTAAATTTTTGTTTTTCCTTCAAATACTTGATTGAAAGTACCAAATAAATGATATAGGTATTTTTTTGAAAGTTTTTAGATAGGATATAACATATAATAATATAATTATAATAATTATTAAAGTTGAAATGAATAAAAAATGCGGATTAGCCCTCGAGTTAGCTGGCTAACCGGTGTCAGGTTACGAGCTTGGCAATGTGGGTTGAAAAAGCTCGTCTACTAACGAGATGACTATTAGCCAACTCTAACTCTATTTTGACGTGTTGGTGAGTTGGGCCTACGAGTCCAACTCATAACTAGTTCTATGTGGTGTTTCAAAGGTATCGATGCAACAACTCCTTTGAGTTGTAGGGTCACTGTCATTGTCATGGTTTGTTCGGGTATTCCTATGTTGTTCTTCCAAAGTTGTCACCATAGTTTATTTTTGGTTCATCTTTAGATTGTATATGATGGGCCTTAAAGACCGTTTTGAAATTATTCACTTCTTTGCACATCTTGCTTTATCCTTGATTTTTAATGTAACTTGCTTGAAAACTCTCTTCTTTAACTAGGAAGAAGAGTAAAAAATTGGTTTGTTTCACATGGCTATGCAATTTTGATGGAGACTTGGTATGGGATATCAAGTCCCACATCAAGTAGAATGAAATGTTCAATGGGATATTTAAGTGGGTTGGTTCTTCCACCGGATTTATTAATTTTTGAGGTAGGGTTTCCCATTCCATCTGCTATCCATCAATTAGTATTAAAGTCTAGTTGTTGATAGTTGTGGAGTACCTATGCAGGGTTCTAACTAGCAAAAGGCCAAGTGCAGTGTCGTGGAATGCAATTGTCAAGACGTTAGTTTTTCATGGGGCCAATTGATAGAGACTTGGTGTTATTGGATATTAAGTTTCACATGGAGTAGAATGAGATACTCAATTGGGTATTTAAGTGGGTTAGTTTTTCCACCTCGATAGCTAGCTTTTGGGGTAGAGCCTCCCATCCCACTCAAGTATCCATCAAATTCTAAGGGTTGATAGATATGGGCTGGCTTTAGCGAAGAGGAGAGTTGCATGTTTTTTCTGCATAAAATTTCAGAAGTACCTGTTTTTGTTTTTGAACTGTTCATAAGCTTTAATGAGGAGTTTGGTGTACCCAATGTCACCTATCAATTTATGTTGCCTCTGATTTACTTTGCCGGGAAAGGACTATGGCCTGAAGATGTGCGGGATAAAGTTTGGGAGTATTTTGGAGGAATTGTTTCATGTTCGACAGACATTTACTACCAACGCTTAAAGGCATGGCTCACTATTCTTCTGTGATATTATCTATAAATAAACCAAAGCTTTTTCTTAGGTCAAATCTTTTAGCAGTTGTTGCTTGCATGAAAAGGATAGATGGTCTGTAACTATAGTAAATGAATTATCCCTTGAAGATACAAATTACCTATATATTGATTTTCTCAGGCAAAAACATATTGAAAGGGTAGTGCTCCAGATTTGTGCTACTCCATTATTTGCAATTAATTGTCACCCATTTTATGTCCCAACTTGTTTCAACCTACTGAAGTTTGAAGTTTCCCACATGATTGAAGGTTTCCACTCACATGGAGCACCTGCACTGACGCTTATTGGGTTGATGGCTAGGCAACATGTATGCAGTGGGGTTCAGCCCTTTCTGGACGAAATCCTTAAGTGTTGATCCTGTTCAGTTAAAGTTTGTGAGTATGTCTTTTACTTAAAAAGGAATATGGAGAATTCTTCAACGACATTTTGAACTGACAGTTTATAGATGTCTATAGAGTTGAGGGTATCTGGGTTATCTTGACAAATGGTATTGCTTGTATTCTAGATTCTAGCGGGCTTTGATTCAGGATAATCTGTCTCTACTCTTTTAAACAGTGTAATGTGGTTCCTAGATCAGTTATATTGGAACCTGATGCGGTTGCTGAGCTGGATGTACCAATTGAATGGATCACATTTACCTTGTGTGGGTTGATGGAAAACATCATTGCTTTTGCATGGCCTTGCACGACCAGCTATCAAGGTGATTGCAAGTATAACATGATGCACATCTTAATTATACCATGAGTGTCAACAGTCATGGAGCTAGTGGTTGCATTTCTAGTTGGATTATAACGAAGCCACCAATCCTTAGCTCTACTTCTCACCGAGTGGCCAAGTTGAAACTTTGAGGGCTGGTAAATGTTGGACCCATGGCTAATGGGCTCTTATTTGATGGGCCGAGACTAAGTCACGTGAAGTGCTTGAGGTTGGTGACTAAGGGAGAGATAAGGGCTATTAGTTGTATTTAGAAGGGGTTCAAGCAAGCTGAACGTGAGTTGCATGTGGGAGAGTCTCTAGCCTCTCGAATGCTAGAGGTGGTTTTATGTTCCTTTTATTTCCTTTCATTTTTGTCAACTGTTTTGTAGGTTAATCCATCAAACCAACACTCTGGATTATTCTGGTGATTTAGTATCAATTCTGGATGTGGTTTCCATCATTATGCAATCACTTCTGTCTTAATTATATTCAGAGAGCTTAATAAACAGTTTTTTTTTCTTTTTTTCCTCTTTTGAAATTTCACATAGTGCTTAAAAAGGAGGAGGAGGAAAGGAAAGCAAAAGAAGGAAGTACAGGAAAACGCCCAAGCACTGGTAGATGTCTAAAAAATTTTTAGTTTGCAATCTTCTTCGCTGCCTACATTTTGCATTTATTGACAGATTTGCATTTCGTACAGAAAAAGTTGGTGGTCCAGACTTAAAATGTTTTATTCGCCAATTTCCTTCTGAAGGTTATCTTCTTTTTCCTTAATTTTTTTCCCTCAAAATACTGGGTTCCCTCAGAGAATGTTGCTCCCAACCCCTTGGTGAAACAGAAGATATATGCTGTTCTATGCATTACCTTTAGTCTTAAATATAAGATCTTGTTTGGAGTGCAAATTACACTGCAAACTTGGTCTTATATTTAGGACCGGAGGCAGCATATGATTATGTTTAATTTTAGTACCTGGTTGTGAAAACTAAATAATCTTCTGAAAATTATGAGTATACCTCTACTCCAACCCGAGAGAGAGAGAGAGAGCCTTCTAAGAAGGCGCAGTTATTGTATATTTGCTTGTTCATTGCTCAAAGTATTTAACATGTTCCCTACGCCAGGTGATGCTGTTGAAGAGTCATCTGCCACAATTGGTGACTTAAGGTGAGCCTTGGGAGGATGCATGTATATCCATGCCATTTACTGTCTGCAGAACTAAGAATTTTATAATGCTTAAATTCGCTATAATTTAGATATAAATTAACGTTTGCTTTTTCTTCCCCCTTTTCTTTTTTTGTAAATCCTTCTTCAAAAGATTCTTCAGTTCACTTTCCTAGTGCAATATTCTTGTTTAGCACACTAATGACTGTGATCGTGACAGAATACAAGGAGCATATAACTATTAACGTTACAAAATGAATAATGATGTAATCTTTGATTGAGAACTATGATCTTTTGCTGGACAGCCCTTTTCCTCAGCCTCATTTTAAAACTTTCTTTGGACCTTTCAAGTATGGGCAATTATTTTGGTTGACCATTTTTTCCATGTTCCCAATGGTATTTTCTTTCAAGTCTTGTGCAGCTTTTTTGTTTGATTTATCTTCTTTTGCATGCGAGATTTTTACATATCCTTTATATACTAAAAGATGTTTGCTTACATTAACAACTAGCATGGTATCATCTTTGTGCAGGAATTCTCAAGAGAAGGCTTCTGATAAGGGAAAAGTAGAGCCTGAGTAAGTTTACGTTTCTAAAATGATTCAGTTCACCATGTTTTAGTCCACAAAGCTCCTGAAAACCTAGGGCATATTAGGTGCTTGAGGCTGTGTTGAAGCTCTTGAGCATAAACCTGAGGACACAACAAAATTAAATGGTTTAAAATGTTTAATGACTTTGTCATCTATTTTAGTTACAAGATTTATCCCACGAATCATCACCTGATTAATTATCCAGTGTTTGAATGTCTTATTTCAGGTCATCTGAGCCAAGAGGGTCTGGTGCATCATTCAAACCGGGAACCTGGCAACCTCCAACTTGAATACTCTCTCTTGAGTAAAGCCTTGCTCGCACCCGCAGCATTCGTTTCTATGCCATTTGGTCAGTTTTAAAATGAAAAATGAATGATTTAGTTGAAAAAACGACTTATTTCTTCATTATGAAATTTTGGGTAGGAAATTCCTGTGAGCGCAAACTCATAGCATTGCTTGTTTGTTGGTTTATGAACAATTTTGTCGAAGGAATCTGTTCGGAACCCAGTTTTAAGTCTTGGAACCTGGTTAAGATGACACAATACTCTTTGAACTGATAGAAAATAAAATGAGATCTTATCACGTTTATGGGTTCAACTCAAGATCGAAACAAAAAAATTATCTTGGTCAAAAAAGAAGCAAAATAATTAGGAAGGGGGTCAAGGTCGGCCAGTGAGACAATGGGACATAAGTTTTATCGTCGAGAGGAAAACAGTCCCGATCACCATCTATGGTTGGAAGGGGTTTTTTCTCCCCTTTCTTCCTCGGTAAAGTTAGATGGTAGAGAGGTAACAATACAAAAAGTAGCGACCATTGAAGGAAAAAAATCAGCAGAGATGATGTCAGTATGCGTGGCCGCTGTAAGGCGTTGCGTTTGAGATGAAAGCCAGTCACAGCATTGTATTGGAAGCAAATCGCTTATTGGTTTCCAAATTATTCATTGTCTCAAATTTATAATGTTTTCCAATTTATTCTTACAAATTGTACTTATTGGTTTTTTTTTTGGGGGGGTGGGGGGATATTTTAAGAAATTAACACATTTTTGTTGCAAAAAAGAAGAAAAACGTAAATTTAATGGTAAAAATCGCATTTTTTGATGTTGTGGCACATGGGAAGACTTGTTTAGTAAACATTTGAGAATTTGTTGCAGGTTTATCTTGTCCAATATGGCATCACTTAGGAGGAGCTGGATTTTGGGTCTCTAAAATTTTGTTTAAAAAAATTAACTAATGTATATAAAAATTAAACTCACTCTAAGTTCTTATAATGAATTTTGGTTTTGCTTCTCATTTCTTTGATCATATTTTTCTATCCATTTCATATCGTCCAAAACGTTGGTTTCTATGATTTCATAAAGACTTGTTCAAAATGTTGGTGTCTATAATCTTATAAGGGTTTGGACCTCAGCTTAACAATGTTAAGAAGGTTGACAAAATTGATTTAACTGAACGAATTTGATTTTGTCAAGGCATAATGCATGGAATTTTTTTTTTTTTTTCACAACTCATTATTTTTGATAGGTCAACTTTTGATGAATATAACATTCGTAATTTAACTTTAAATTGGGCAAATTAGATATTTTTGAAAAGCTTTTTGAATCTAATTCCTAATGCATTAAGATCCTTCTGCTAAAAATAAATGCATTGAGATCCATTTAATAGAGCTTTGTATTTTGAAGGATATAATCAAAATAGTAAGCAAAAGTCGGAAATGTTTTTCTTTATAAATTGAAATACTAGATTTCAAATACCATATCTATTTTATGTGAAAAAATTTTATTAAGATAAATGTACTGAATAACTTATTGAGTCTAGTTTCATATGGAATAAGTTCACTTTAAAATGTTTTATAGTTTAGAAGATGTTGCAATAACATTGATCAAGGGTTAAGCTAACATATTTGATGCCCTAACAAAATCCATTTTGTTCAATGATATTGATTTTGTCAGCCTAACGGTGTTACCTTAGCAAAATCGACCTTGCTCACTGAAATTGATTTTGGAGAGAGAATATTTCGAGTGACTAAACGGCATAAAATCCTCCATCTATGCGTATGAAAAATTAGGCACAATCATTAGAACAAAGAACAATTTTGACAACACCGGTTAACAGGCCAAATCGGTGCAGCGTGTCCTATTCATGTTCACCCGCTTCTCTGTGCTTATTAGCCTTCTTTTGGTCTGATTTGAACAGTTTAAATTTAATTTTTAATTAATTATTTTTAAATAAAAGTTATTTTTCTTAAAAAGTAATAGTTAAGAGATTATTTTTAGAGTAAAATACACCTTTCTGTTTTGCCTTACTACACAAACCTCCCCTCTATTTTGAAAATATATATTTTAGTCTGGACCATTAACATTGTTAAACAATATTCTAAAAAAATTCTTTAAATATACTTTTTAATTAAAAATCATATTAGAATAAATTTTGTTTATAACTTTAAGCCCTTGTTATACTAAATCTTTAATTTATATTTTAACATTAATAATTTCACTAAATTAAAATAAAATTGAAGTAACTTAAAATACTCACAACATGATTGAAGATTTGAATAACTTTTTCACAAAGATGTGTTTTATGAAATATGTTTAAAAATTTTGAATTATAACATATTAGTATAAGAATATAAAAATTATATCATTTTATAATATGATAATATAATTGAAAATATATATACGATTACAAAACAATCTCAGCTAACAAAAAATATTGAAATATGTATTAAAATATTTTAATTTCATATAAAGATATGTCATATGAGTTTGAATGATGATTATTAAAAAATATTTGCGTTAAGGAGGGGCATTTTGGTCAAAATAACATGTCAGTGCTATGATTTAATGGTCAACTAATTAACTTTAGGGTGGATAAAAGTTGAATCTCAACACTAGAAGAAGGGTTTATATATTTTTTAAATGGGAAAACATATTTGCAGGTCTTTATAGTTTGATCAAATTTTAAATTAGGTCTTTATAGTTTTTTTTTTAATTGAATCCTTGTAGTTAATTTTGTTAAATTTACAAGTCCCTCTGTCACGAATGTTGCAAACGCCATTAACCCACAATGGTAGAGGATGATTTGGCAATGCACTCTCTCCACTCCCCCAAGTCTCTCTCTCTCTCCATCACCTTTCTCTCTCATCTGTTAAAGCTAACCACGATGAGCTCGATGAAACCCATAAGGAGTGAAGAAGGACTGCCTCTTTGACTGATCCTACTCCTCATCAACATGAGCACGCTGTTTCTATGCTGTTATAAGTTCAATTACACCAAGATAGAGTATAGTGAGGATTGGCATTCATCATTGCACCCATGGCAATTTTTTCGGTGAACTCCTATGGCCACTTTCATTAGCACCATTGCTTCTTTGCCTTTTGTTATAGATAAGCAAGATTTGATGAATTCAGATCTCAGAGAAAAACTATTTGCTATAATTATATATATATATATATATATATCATGGATCAGGGAAATATGATAAACATGAAACTTGCCAAAAACGTAGTGTGCTAGCTCAAGTAGACTAGAATCAGAGTGATATGAAAAGGAGGTTATATATATGCTAGAAATATTATTACAAAGTGAAGAAATAAAGCCTAGCATGCTGAAAATATTTCATCAATTCCTCCCATAAGACTTTGATCAAATCTTTTTCTTTCTAATATATTATAACAGCATAGAAGCAGCATGCCCATGTTGATGAGGAGTAGGATCAGTTGAAGAGGTAGTGTCACATCCAGTATTATGATAATTGGAGACAAGAAATATTCTCAAATTATGGAGGATTAAAAGTAATAAGGAAAAGTCAAAGAATTTTGGTGGAAAATAATTACAGCAATTTTCCAAGCCAATTATAGGAAATTGACTAATTAAAGAAAATTGGTCAAATGTAAATAAGGAAAAATATTTTCGAGCCATGGAAAATTAAGGAAAAATAGGGATAATATCCTTTGAGATTTATATGAAATTATAAAGTTGGTTTTATGACCAAATTACCCTTAGAGAAATTATAAGAGAATTTAAGGGTGATTTAGGCTAATTGAGGGATTTTATTTGGAAAATTCCAAATAAATATTTTAAGAGGAATAAAATTCCAAGAAAATTCCTATGAGATCCCAAGGAATTATAAGGAATTATGGAATTAAATGGAAACCCTCAAGTGTCCAAGATTTTTCCAAATAAATGTGAAAAGTGGAAAAATCCCTAAAGAGAAGGAAATTAATTTTCCTTTTTATTTAAATATTAGGAAATTAATTTTGAGACAAAGAGGACAATTTGGGAAGACAATAATGAGGAGAATAAATTAAGGATCTGATAGAAAATAATTACAGAGACTAAGTTACTGTAATTATAAAAAAGAAGTTAAACTCAGAGCCTAAAGTATACCGATAAAGCAAGATTGGTGTCTTGCAAATCCAAGGGATCCTATTGAGCCATGTGTCAAGCTCTTGAAGGAGAAGATTTGAATTAGCCAAGTGTCATTCCATGAATGGAGAGGATTTTGACTTTAGTAAATAATTTCATTTGGAATTATGTTAATTAAGAGAGAGGAATCAAGACTTAGTAGGGTAATGACACTTGGACTATCATTAAAGAAGGTGGTTGGGATATTTTGAAGCCTTAATCAAGCTCTTCTCTCCCCATTTTCAGATGTTCATTTCGTGCAAGGGAGAAAAATAGAGAAAAAGAGAGAGTTTGAGAGGAAACAAGGAGAAAGGGAGCACTTTTGATCATCCTAGCAAGGTTTCAAGGTTAGATCTTGGTCCTAGAAGTGTTCTTGCTTTGGTTTCTTTCATTTTTATGGTTTAAAATCTGTCTCTTCCCTCTCTTAATGTGGACCAAACTGATTAATAAAAAGGGGAAAGAAGTTTTGATCATAACACTTGCTAAGACACAACAACACAAGCTAGATCCTAGTGTTGGCAAGTGAGTTTAAGTGATTTTAAAGCATTTTTCATGGTTGTTGTTGTGAGAGTTATTTTCGGCCAAGTGAAGAACTGGACCCTAGGATGAGCTTTTCATTGTTTTAAGGCTTCCATGATGCTTAAAATGAGGAATGGTGTAGGGTAGACTAAAAGAAACAAGTGTTGGAAGCCTAAAAGCAAAGCTGAAAATTTTGGGTCAAAACCTCTAGTGGTTTGGTCGGTTTGTGGCTGGAAGAATCAGTTTTATTTACAAAAATCTAAGCCCATTTTTGGAATCTACATGAAAATCCATGTAGGAACAAGTCAAGGAGTATTTTTTAGGGTTAAAGAGAACCAAATCTAAAACTAGTGAACAAAGGAGGGAACTTTATGGTTCAAGAATCATTTTGATGTATGTTCTTGCTTTTTCATGGTTGGATAATGATTCTTGCTACCATTTTTGTTGAATCACATGGTTAGGGTTTGATATTTTCCAAGGGAAAGAGGAGAAGGAAGAAAGGCTAAGACTTTTGAAGCAAGGTAGTAAGTTAAACCTAGCTACTACCACTAACTAGCATTGTTGATTATTGTATGGTTAATTGCTATTATTGTGATTGAGCTCTCTTGATTGTTAT